GTATAGTGTTGGCATGTAAATTGATGATGTAGCCACAATGGAAATCAGTATGGAGGCTCCGAAGAAAGCTAATGATCCAGCTATGCTATTCTTGGTTATATACCTGAAGGAATTCATGCTAACACAGGACAGAGGAGCTGCTTGTGTGCTCATATGTGTTGTGACAGTATTTACAGTAGTCAAGTTACAGACTCAGCCTAGCTGATGAAGAAAATATTGTAAATGCAAGTTATGGAATATTATTTAGCTATTAAGAATAAGAAAGTATTTTCAGGAAAATGGAGATCATGCTAAATGAAGTTAGCCAGGCTCAGAAAGACAAGTATCACATGTGTTCTCTCTTATATGGAATATAGACAAAAAAAAAAAAAAAGACTTAAAAGTAGTAGGGCAGCTATTTGGGAAGATGAAGAAGCAGGAGACAAGCTTGAGAGACAGCCAAGGGAGGGTGAGTAGGAGCTAGGTATGTGGCGTGCAGGTTTGAGGACTCCACAGTGAAATGTGATATTTTGCACAGTGATGTATGACAACTAAACATACTAGCACTGAAATCAGAGGAACTGAATTAAATTCTGCCCAGTTTCATACATTTAAACAAGAGAAAGAGTACAAATAATTTGGGACATGTTCAGTAAAAGAAAAAAAGAGGGTTCTGGACATATTCTGTAGAATAAGGGAAAGGGGAACATTATTCTCAAAGTTCAGAGGAAGAGCAAACCTATGAAGGAGACTACCAGTGGACATCAGAAGAATATTTCAGGAAATATTCACCAGGATACAAAAAGATGGAACATTTTGAAATAGGAAACAGAATTGGGAGGCGACTATTCAGACAACTAGTATCTGGCAGGAAAAATTACAAGAAAATTTAAGGTGTCATTATAATTACAAAATGAAGGACAGAAAATAGAATTGATGACATAGAGAACTTCAAAGTCTTCCTAGAATGCACATGGAAGAGATGTTGGTGAGAGAAGACACCAGGTCTGGAGGATAAGATATTAGAGGCCTAGTCTATGTACAATCGGCCAATGAAGAAACCAAGGCATTGGAAGGAAGGATTTAAGGGATACGACTGATGGAAAACATACCTGAATTAGGAAAAATAAAAAATAAAAAATTAAGCCTAAAGTTTAAAAGGGAACACCAGTAAAAACAATCCTTTCCCCATACAAGTCCTGGCAATGTTTTTGTGTTCTACATTGGCAGTATGGGTGGAAAAGGTATGAAGACATCATAAAAGAGAGAAAAATACCATGGCATTCATCCTCAGTGATAAATGTGAGGGGCAGAATTTTGAGGAGAAAAGCATTGTTTTCTTCTGTCATTCTGAATTTTACATAAAGATAAATTTTATGTGGAAGGGCAACAGAAGGTCTCAGAAATAGAGTCTGAAGTGGTTAAGAGTACTGGCTGCTCTTCCAGAGGTCCTGAGTTCCATTCCCAGCAACAACATGGTTGTTCACAACCATCTCTAACTCCAGGCAAAATACTGATACACATAAAAAATAAGATTAAAAGTGTCAGAAATATAGGCCTCTTAAAAAAGAACCCTTACCCACCTAAGAGTTGCTATTAATGCTACAAATAGATAGATGTACATTAAAGGGATGGGTGGGCTTCTCTGATCTCATTTGCCAGGCTAGATTATCCAGCAGAGACTACCCAATTGTCCTAGTCCCTTTCTGGTCATGGTCATATGAACTGGAGGGGCGGCCTGTCTGCAGTCATGGCGCCATCTGGATGAAACTGAACATAAACTCACAGGACTAGTCTGGAATTGGAGGAGGAGTTGTTTTGGGGTACCTCGCTTCCATTGTGTGGATAGAGGTTCATGATGACATGCAGTCGCTGAGGCCCCACCTGTGTCCAGAACATGGCAGAAAGTAGATGGGAAGATCAGGGTGTCTTTGGGTGATGCATGTAGGAGTGACATTTTTCTTTCTTTTTTTCTCTTGAATTCTAAAATATTTTTAAAGTTTTTTTTAAATGCACTTTTAATTTGAAAGATTAACCTAAAAAGCTTTAATTTTTGTAATAATCATAAGAGCCATAAATTTGTTTGGCTTTAAGTATATAAAAATTATATGTAAGCAATAACTTCTTTTTAAACTTCTTGGTTAATAAATGAGAGACAAACCTGTGTGGTAACTGTAGTTCAGCTGTGTGTGTGCACTTAGATGGCACACCTGGGTGAGGAGGACCCTGGGTGTCTTCCTCTACCATTGTCACCTTAGTCCTTTGATCTCTGTGATGCTGAGACTTTCTGACTTTCAGCCTGTCTAGATAGACAGAAGCCCTGGTGGTACTTCTGCCTCTCTCTTCACTTCTTTGCCATAATTATGAAAACTGCTCCTAGGGACTGTGGTGGGCTATGTACACTCAGTAGAGGCCTGGGCTTCTGTCCCCAATCCAGGAGGGAGAACATTGGAGCCACTGCTAAATGACCGTGTGAGTGATGCAAAGTTGCTCCCAGTTGAGGATGACTGCTGAAGATGTTCGTCTACTGAGATTGGGTTTCACTTCATTGGCTCAGCTTTATATAATAAGCATGAATTTCAAATTAGAAAACCAAATAAAACAAATAATTGATTTTTCCCTATAGAATAAATATACCATAGTTTAAAAACTGAGACCTATGCTCATTTGAAACGATAACCTTTAATTCTCCCCAAAGTACACAAAATTCATTTTCAGAATTTGGAAAGAGCAACATTTGAGAGCCAGCAGTCAAGTCACTGCTGAGGGTCGTGATGCCGGGCTGATAGTGATTGACTGAGATGGGGGTAGGTGAGGGTGTCAGGTCTCATTCTGGGCTCATTCCTGTGATGCATGCTTATGTGGATGTGAATCCTGTGCCTCATCATCTGCTCCACTGAGAGAGCCTCTAATTACAGAGAGGCTCTGGAGGGAGGGTTAGACGGATGGATGTGTGATAAAGCAGAATACTGTCTGCAGAGCGTAAGTGATGAGAGGGTGCCAACCACCCTCCTTTAATTCTAATAGAACGTTGGTGGGAGGATCAATCTTTAGAGGTGGCTTTCTTTACACTTCCGTTATTTCATTTGGATGTGCTTCAGTTGCTTTTCCAATAGTACTGTAGTAATTAGATAATACAGTTGGTGGTCCAAAATCCCGGCTCTCATTTTGTGTCTCATTTAAAATGGTGATCATGCTGCTCATTGAAATATGGAAACTTTTTTATTTTTAAGTAGTAAACATTGTGGAGAAGTATGGGGCCAGTGAGATGGCTCAGGAGGTAAAGGTGCTTGCTGTAAGCCTGATGCCCTGAGTTCAGTCTCCTGAATCCATGTAGTAGAAGGCAAGAACCAACTCCCAGAAGTTGTCCCCTGACCGCCACACTAGTGCACACACACACACACACACACACACACACATGAATAAGTGACTCAGAGAACTCCTTTCTTCACGTTTTTCTCAGACCTCTAAATTTCTTTTTAATCTACTAGGAATCTTTTTTGTTTTTTGACATTTTTCTAGCTGTTAAAAGGGGATGATTTTCCTAGTGTTGTGAGGTTAAACTGTAGACCTGTTCTACCCCTTATTGACTGAGGAATATTTGTCTTTGGAAAGCACTCTGCTAATTTTTCATATTCCTCTCCCATTATCTTGACTAGGAGTACTTACCAAATGCGTCATTTAAATTGCTATCGATATGACTCTTGTTGGTTTTAGTGCCAGTTTCTAGTAAGGACTACCTTCTTGCAAGTTGCTTCTTAGTTCTTATGTACAAGCTTGTTGCAAAGCTTCTGCTGTTTTCCTTCTCAGTAAATTGTAAAACAATTTGTTTTTTCACATATACTTACAGTTTCACAATGCACATTATACTAAGGGAATACACAGGATTAGAAAATGCCATCAGATAATACACTCTATTTCCACATTGGTAAAATAATGATTCTTGTATGGAACAAGTATTCTATATAACTTTTTAAACTAAGAAAATACATATCTCCCTTTGTCAGAGTCTGAAGAGTCCTAAAGATGTTTTTATGACATCACTGTCATTACAAATGCCATACAGGAAACTCTTGCATAAGTTCAGTCCAAGTTCTTTCAGGAATATTTTCAACTGCTATTGACACAGTAGGAGAAAATATTTCTCATTTTATTTGACCAGTAAGAGACTTTGACCAAGAGACTCTTTGAGCCTACCCTTTTAATTTAGAATATAAGGAGAGAATAGATTCCATATTAAAAAAATCATAGCCTCCTCGTATGTAGTGTTGCTGATAACTTGAGATTAGTGGAAAGAGATTTGACAGACTTTACGATAAAACATCTCTGAATTTTTTTACATTAAAACAATGGGAACATAGTCATCTCAGAGTAGAGCTTGTAATACAGGAATTCACAGAATTCTTTTGTAATGAACCTGACAGCCAGTGTCTGAGGACCATGTAGGCTGTCCACTCTGTGTTGAGCTCGTACCTTTGCAGGTGAGTGCAGCCCTGGGTGATACATGAAGGAATCCATAAGGCTGCATTACAGTAAAGCTTTATTTACGTACACTGAAACTTAAATTTTTTGTAATTTCTACATGTCAGAAAATACTCATTTTTTTATAGTCTTTTCTTCCAGCCACTTAAAACTGTAGAAACCATTTGAGGGCTTCTGCACTCATCTGCAAAGGTAAGCAGCTGCTACAGAGAATGGACTGCCCTACGTCCTCATGGGTCATACCAAATAGGAAGAAAAAAGGAGAATGGGCTAGTGGTTGCTGTTCCCTAGGGGCCTTTATATTTTGACTTTAAGTATTTTGAACCTAGTTTAGTTTGGAAGAGTTTTAACATTCTTCTCTTACCTTTTGAGGGGAGGATGGATAAACTTTACTTCTGTCTTCTGTGTGGAATTTTCCTATCAGATTGGCTGGTGGGTGGGAATGAAGCTGGAGAGGGGACTGGGATGCTTCCATTTGAAAATGGTTTTTGATGGGAGTTGCGGGAGTGGCTGAGTTCTCTTGTCTTTCCCCCCTTCAGTGAAACTAGCAGTGTATGCAGCAGCAGCGACACAGGGCTCTTCACCAATGATGAAGGACGACAAGGTAATCTTAAAATATTAAAAGATTTGGTTTTTTTAAGACTCTTGTTTTTTAATTTTTAAGTTATGTCTATAAATGTGTGTCTGAAGTGCATTTGTGTGCAGTCACACACAGACACCAGAAGAGGGCATCAGATCCCTTTGGAGCTGGAGTTATAGGCTGTTGTGAGCCACCTGACATGGGTGCTGGAAAGCAAACCCTGGGCCTCTGGAAGAGCAGTACACACTTTTAACTGCTGAGCTATTTCTCCAGCCCCCTGCAAAGTATTTTGATTCCAGATTTGGGACTTTGCCTGAATGATTGATTCTGGTGACTATAAAATGACTTATTGAAGGCATATGAGAGCCATTTGGGGAATTATGAAGATTCCAGATTTTCTGAGCTGCTAGAAAGATAGATTTGGAGTTGGTCCCTGGAATCTGTAGGTTTTTACAAGTCCCTAAAGTGGTTCTTATATAGTAGCTTATAGCTTGAGAATCATTGGTCCCTGGAGTCAGAGTGTCAAGGCTAAGCTTGTGAAAGTTTCTTGTAATTATAACCAATAATATTCTCATACATAATCTTTTTTGGAGGGAATGACATTTTCTTATTTTTACTGAGGGATAACTTTGACCTTATTTACATTTAAATGCCTGAAGATTATTACAGAGTCCTATGAATGAACACTGTAGTGTCCCAAGTAAATATTTAATAAGTATCTTTAAAAGTCACCAAGTATCCCCACTTAAATGTTTTTTTTGTTTTTTTTTTTCTGAAGAAACCCTCACTGATAGCCTTTACTTGTGTGTGTGTGCGTTCTTGTTCATTGTACGTGTTATTTTTTTATTGTGTTTGTTTTGAGCTGTTTTTAAGTTTTGTGTCTGAGCGTTTCGCTCACATGTATGTGATGTGCACCGTGTGTGCCTGGTAACCTTGTAGATGAGAAGAAGGCCTGATCCCTGGCCAGATCGGGTCCTCTGCCAGAACAACAAGTACTCCTAACTACTAAGCCTTCCCTCCACATTTCCCCAACCCCTGCTTTTATTTTTTTTAATCATCTATTGTGCTATGTATTTCTTTGTGCTTTCTATTAAGGCATTCCACAGCTGGGAATTATTTTATAATATTTATTTATTTGATTTTTTTATGTCTGTGTGCCTGAGTGTGTGTATGAGCTTCATGAGCGAGGATGAACATGAAGAGGTCAGAAGAGACATCAGATCCCTGGAACTAGGGTTATAGACTGTTATGAGTTACTGTGTAGGTGCTGGGAACTAAACCGAGGAACAGTGCAAGAACAGTAAGTGATCCTAACACAGAACACTCTCTCCAGCCTTTGGAATTATTTATAACCATGGCACCTTACAACATTGCCTGAAATGTCCCAGCCCCTATTCAGTTGATAAATCCAGGTAATGTAAGTGAGGGTGCAGGAAACCACCAAACTAGACTATTCCATGGGTAGAAAAAAGAATCACTGGGGATCAAACTGTCAAGGCTATCTCTGGGAGAGGGAGGCAGAAAGAAGCAAAAAGGCAGGAAATCAAGAGGATCTTATCTGATATTCTCACAGTGTCGTCTAGCTCAGCAAGTTCCTATTTATTCCCTGGAACACACTGTGTAGATCAGGCCACCTTCGAACTCAGAGATCTTCCTGCTTCTGCCTCTCAAGTGCTGGGTGTGCGTGCCACCATGCCCAGCTGCAAGTCCTTTTTAAAAATTTTTACTATTGGATCATGAGTGAACTGTAAGAACCAACATTCCCATTCTGTAGTAATTCATTGTCAGAAAGCATGATCTAATGTGTTTACCTGTTGTAGTGCATGTCCTGAGAAATGTTTCTGGATGAGCATGGAACAAGCATGGCAGCGTGCATAGAAACTAACCATGTTTGCCAGCACGTGTCCTGATCCACCTGTGTCAGTGGCTGGTGAGGTGCATGTCAGAGTAGTGTTCTCAGACTGTGCTCCCCAGATCTGCTCAGCTGCATGGGGCAACTTGCTAGTATTTGATCCAAGTCAGAAATTTTGGTAGATGTGGCCCAGCAGCTTGTATTTCACCTGGTATCTGTCTTCCTTCCCATCTGTCATCATTCCCTCACTTCCCCAACATCCTGGTTTTAACAAGCCCTTCTGGTGCTTCTGAGGTTTGCTGAAGCTGGGGAATCCCTGTTTTCAAGACAGCTATTTGCAGAGTGTGTTTATAGTGAGACACCAATATACATCAAAGAGCAAGTTCTGTAGTGCATGGTGGGAATAACTACTCTTTGCAGAGTGCAGTCTCACTGCCCCTCTTGGAGAGTTGTTATTATCCTGGGTGTTAGTGGCTAGGTGGGGCCTGGCATATGTTAGAGGAAGGCGGCATAAACTACAGATGCTGTTGTCATAGTTTTCTTTATTCCTGTAGTTTGGAAAGGGAATGAGGTAGCAGGCACAGAGCTGCCTGTGTCTTATCTGTCTTGAAGGCAGGGATACACTGTAGTGGGAACTGAGGTGTTGTTAGAGCTAAGTTTGAACCAACAGGTTAGATATATTAGTTGGGACCTTACCATTAATGAACAACATGGCCTCAGGCAGATCACATAGTTTCTTGAAAAGCCTTCGGGAGTTTTATTACCTGTTTCTTTTATTGCTTGTTTCTATGGTTATTTTTTTCCCCAGGAGTTTGTATTTTTAGTTCAAAATTATTTTCTGTCCCATCAGTGAGATACCAAGGCCAAGACAAAATGTGGGCATACATTCTTTACTGATCTATTATGATAACATGTAAACATGTAACCCTTCTAGCAATAACAGCTAATTTTTTAAATTGAGGAACATTTATGGCTTTGAACTCTGTCTACACCATGGGTAGTGGTAAGGAAGGCAGTTTGGTTTTTGTGGAAAATATTTTGGGCTTTGTTTGTCAGGTTCTGGGTTCAAATTCTGCCTTCATTTACTAGCTTAACCTTAGCTTCCAGGCATTAGTTGCTTCACTGTAAGTTGGAGCTATTGTATATTTTACAGAGATAAAACATTTGTGTATTTTCCACGTAGATGGCTATAAGGCTGTATCTTAGAATTTGCTATTTAAGTGGTGAAAACAGTCCAGCATTCGTGTGGAACTAGGTTGATGCCTCAGTTTTCATCTTACTGTGTACCAAGAGGGACTAGACACAGTCTTTTACACTTTGCCTTTGACAGTGTCACAACTGTGGCATTAAGGAAGCCTCCGGGCATTTGTATTTTAACATGACAGCTCAGGATGATCTGTTTGCTCTAGGGGATGATGAGCAGAGTGATTGGTTTTATGAAGGAGAATGTGTCCCAGGATTCACAGTCCATAACCTTCTGCCCAAGTGGGCTCCTGACCACTGCACTGACGTAGAAGGAATGGACTCCGGACTGGATAAACTCTCAGATCCCACGTTCCTTTTGCCTTCCCGGCCAGCTCAGAGAGGTGAGTTTGGAGAAGATGAAAGTTGAGGTCATGACTTCATGCTTCTCTCTGGGAAGACTCATCATGCCCTGCCTCAAGTACTTGCATGCCCTGGCCATGCACTACTCTCTAATCATGGAATTAGCTTAGGATCCTCTGGAAAGAGGATTCAAGGGTGGGTCTCGAAGCTCAGGCTTCTCCCTCTCCCAGGTCAATCCATGTAACACACGAGGAACATCGACAGCCTGTGCCACATTTAGGAATCCTGGCACCACTCATGCCACAGCTACAGGTCCCATTGTAAAGCTGATGTGCTGCTTCCCGAGTGCTCATTGGAAGCTTGAAAGATTGGCTCTTAACGAGGAACAAGCTTTTGTAAGGACATTCACATACGAGATAGGATTTTTTTTTTTAAAGAAGATGGTTTAAAAATTCTTCTTTAGATATATTTGTTTTTGTGATCTTGTTATTTTGTACTTTGACACAATGCTTATCTGTTCCTTTGTTTTATTTCTGTTCTAAAGTAGCAGAATGGGGTGGAAAAGGGCCCATGACAGGAGACAGAAGTGGGATGATGCTTCACTTTAGTTAGCTCCATGCTTGTGACCAAGTCAGTCCACGTTTTGGAATATCAGGGCCGTTGCCTAAGATGTGTGACAACAAACAGGACTGTTTTATAGGTCTCTTTGACTCTAAATTTAGGACTCCCAGGAAGTAGTGATCAGTCATTGTCTGGTATTTGTTGATGCTTCATGCTCAGAGTGGCACATCTTTGGTCTTACTGCTCAGGACAAAGATATGAACACAGGAAGTCTTTGGCAGATAGCCTTGTGAGGGTGCTGGGGTGGGGACTCTAATGTGCTTATGGATTTGGGTGGTTAATAACTGAAGCTTTCTTTCCACAGGATACCATGCTCGTCTGAATCGGTTGCCAGGAACTGCAGCTCGGTGCCTTAGGAAGGGGCGGAGAAGGCTGGCTGGGAAGGTGAAGATCTCATGATTTCTCCAGTGCTGTGGGAAGGTGGTAGTCCCCATAGGATTTGCATTCCCTACTGACAATTAAAGACATTACAGAACTCTCTGGAGTTAATGAAACCAACTGAAATGTTCTGGGAATTAAGAAGGCTGAATGAACATTATGTGGGCTTTGAATGGATACAAACATGAAAGATACATACTTTATCCACATAGATGTTCGATCAAGCAAATACTTAATGCAGCCTCTACTTCATGTAAATCTGCTGGCTTGATCTCTCTCTTTAGTACTTTTTAAGAGAGTTAAAAATGTATTTTGTTTTTTTTTGTTTGTTTGTTTTTTTACAACTCCTGAATTCAGAAATGTGTCTTTATCCTAACTTGACTTTTTATCCTAGAATTGATTTAAAAGGAGAACACTAAATAATAATAAAGAAGCAATCCCCTTTTCCTCATCCCCTCATAAAATAACACTAAGCCTGCTTTGCAAAAGTCTAGGACTTGCTCTGTGGCCCCAGAGACATCTACTGTTCCTTCAGTTCTGTCCTTGCCAGGGACATCTGTGCTAGGCACTGGGTCATTGATTCCTCCCACAAGGAGAACTTAGGTTCAGAGAAGTGAGAGATGTGTGGCATTATCTGCATCAAAGTAGCAGAGCAGAGACTTGAACCTAGGATAACTTTATTCTTTTTGAACTACCTTTAATTTTTGGGTCTCTGTGAAGTCCAAACTGGCCTGTTACTTGCTTTGTTTCCCAGTCTAGCCTTCAACTTGAAATTGTCCTAACTCCTTGAGTCCTAGGGTTAAAGGCTTGTACCTAGCGCTTGATCTCATTTGTAGTCTAGCTTTGAGATTGAGAAATAGGTTAAGGCAAAGGTTCTCTAGCCAGGCAGGGACAATAGTGAGGAGGAGTTTGTCAAGCGTCTAGAATACCTGCTACACGGTTGTCTGTCTGTCCAGCCATGTGTGTGGTTATGGGTCACAGTCATCTGGCTATTGCTTTGTGTTGTAGTCTACTCAGAGAACTATTTTTTAAAGTTTAGGGCATGGAAAAAGAAAATAATAGAAAAAAAGGGGAGGTGAGGTTAATTAATTTGTGTGTATATACCACAGAGGAGATTTGCAGGAGTCTCTTTTTTTCTTCTACCATGTGGATCCTGGGGATTGAGCTCAGGCCATCAGACTTGGCAGCAAGTGCCTTTACCTCCTGAGCTACCTCTCCAACCAGATTCTTATTTTTCACCCTTATATTCCAATTCCAGTCTCTAACTAGAGAGGCATTTGGTCATTGGAAAAATCACACTCTGTTTCTTTTGGCTTGCCTCATTCATAGACTATGGGCCACTTGCTCCCTGTGCTGTTTAGGGAGCTTGTCCTTGACAGGAACACTTCTGTGTAGATGTGGTTAAGGAAGGCAGAAGCTTAGGAATAGAGGACAGTGAGGTTTTCTTTCCCTTCTGTTTACTAGGCAGAATAATGCTCTCCCTACAATCTGCTGCCTTTCTTTAAGCTCATATAAAGTAAGAGCCTTCTGCTTCCATGGAAGCGAGTCTGTTCATCTTGAAGGCTCTCTTCAGTGTGCTTAGGAGTCTAGGGTTTATTGGACATGCAGCTAGTGATATCAAATGAATAGGGTGGTGTGTACTTGTTTAATTCATCTTCATCACCTTAAAGGGAGATCTGTCACTTCTAGCAGAGGTCACCACTCATTTCTCCCTGTTCCCCCTCCCCAGTCCCTTTCCTCTCTTTCTAAACTGTAATCATAAATAATGAGTTTCATTCACAGCTCCCTGCCAGTGAGCTGCTAATTACACAAAGTACTGCTTGTAATTTACACAGTAATAAACTGTAAATTTAAATATTATGGCATTTTAAGTTAATAATTTTTCTGCTGTAATAAATAGCTCATTTTTCACCCATCTTTTCCCTTGGCCCTCTACCATTCTGTATCTGTGACCTGGAGGCGTAGCCAGAGGGATGAAAAATAAATGTGTGAGCCTTCCACTTAGTCCCACTCCTGTTAGACTCTGACCTCAAATTAATTTTTCAAAAGCTGGTGGTTCTACTAAAGAGTGTTTCCTACTCTTTAGGCTAGTTCATACACATAATTGAACACAACATCTGCCAAGATACAGATGAGTTTGAGTAATGCTGATGCTCATGCCTGTGACTTGTGTCCTCTCACACTCTTGTGTGTGGCTCTTGGTTCTGTACAGGGTGCTATGGCAGGTATCCTCATAAGTGTACTCAAATTAGGGGAGGGTGAGTGCCTTCACTCTGCGGTGGAGATGACTGGTTTGCTGTGGTGTTACGGGTATGCTTTCACACTGCAGTCCCGAGAACCCCAAATTTAAGAATCAGTGTATACATCCATTTACTTTACTTTAAAAGGACGTTCAAGGGATAGAACGTGGTGATAATCCTTGTGGGTTTTGTTTCTTGTGGTGATAGGGATTGAACTCAGGGCCTTGTGCATGCCAGGCAAGCACTCTACCATTGAACTGTGTTTATCCAACCTGGCTGGTTGTTTTTGTAAGTTGCACAGTTCTTTAACACGTAGACATTTAGTCAACAGATATTTAGGTTTCACCAGGGAGGATTCAGTCAGCGTTCGCCTGTGATGGTTGTTGAGCTTCAGTCAAACTCAGTCATGGAGCTTCATGTGCTCTTCTGCTAAAAACTGGCTCCTGCTGCTGAGTGTGGGTAAACCTCTTTCTCAACACTTGCGAATCTGGAGCAGGAGTTTGAGGCCAGTTTTAGCTACATAGTGAAACCAAGTCACAAAAAACAAAAAAGTGTTGAGTCTTCTGAAAAAGTTTTTCTACTTCTTTATACTTTGGAACTGTAGGAAGTATTATATTAGTATTATATTAGTACTCCAGGAAGTATTACTACATTAAAATTACATACACATGTAGATAGTAAACAGTGTATAAACATGTTGAAATAGCACTTGGTATTAGTTTTATATTTCACACAATTAAGAAATAAACTCAGGGCTGGAGACAGAGCCCAAGCTGGTCAAGTGCTTCCAGAAGACTTAGAGTTTATTCCCAGAACGCATGTGGGAAAAAAACCATCAGGTGTGGTGGCGTGCTTGTCATCCCAGCACTGGGGAGGCGGAGACAGGAAGACAGCTGAGGCTCCCTGCCCACACAGCCTAGCCTAAGCTCTACCTGTTGGCAGACATGTAGACAATGCCTGAAGAGTGACACCTGAGATGGTCCTCTGGCTTCCATGCATACCCACACTTGCGCATGCCACACACATGTGCTTGTCTACACATTTACACAAAACTAAATTGAAAACAGAAGTAACCTCAAGTTCAACAAACAGTATTTCTATGGCTTTTTAAAGAATTTTTGGATCAGCAGAGAATAGCTAGGTAATATATAATACTTCTAAGATTGACTCACATAAAAAAATAGTTGCTGTTGGTGTTTTAAGGTTGACACGATTTTGAGGTTGCTTGCCTGGCATAGTTAGGGAAAATTTGAACTTGGTGATAGCTTGCATTGCATATATTTGCTTCTGTGCGTAGAAGACACTCTTGCTCTTGCCCTTTTAGGAGACCAGCATAAGCAATCTGGGAACTGAGAGGATAAGCCATATCATCAGTGACCCCTGGCAGAAAGAGTAAGTAACTGTCCTACCTGGTACTGAGAGAAGGAGGCAGAGAAGGCATTTATAAAGCAACCTTTATATTAGATTGCAGAGCTGAAAGAGGAGATCTTAAAGATTGGTACTTCTTAACAGTGAACATGGCTGAAGTCAGACTGGCAAGATGGCTCAGTGGCTAAAGTGCTTGCCATCTGGTGTTGCATGTCTGACCACCAGAGTTCAGTCCCAGAGTTCGCGTAAAGGCGGAAGAAAAGTACCACACCACAGACTTGTTCTCTGACCCTCACAAGTGTGCTGTGGCACAACAGTAAGTAAAAAAATTTGAGGTGGCTAAATCCCTAAAGTCATGACAGTGGTTTGCTTTTCCTTCTAGAGTAGTTTTTATTCTGTTGCCTGTTGTATTTCTAGGTGTTGTATTCATATCCACCGCTAAGATGCCATATTTTCGATACATTTTTCTCTCTTAATTTTTTTAAAATAGTCATTGCAAATGACCGATTACTTCTGTTCCCCTTCAGACCTCTTTACGGAGAAATCTTTTTGTCCTTGTTTCCATGGTGAATACAGTGGGAAGCTCACATGTAACTATTCAGGAATCATCTGCCTTTTTCATAACAGCTTCATCTTCTAAATTGTTGGCTTTGCTGTTTGTTTTGCCTTCCTCCTGGGTCTTCCATGACAAAAATATTTGCTAAATAAATACATACATGTGGGGGCTGGAGAGATGGTTCAGTGGATCAAGCATAAGGTCCAGAGTCTGGAGTCCATCACCCACGTGAAAAAGCAGACAGGTGTGGCAGGCCTGCCTGTAACATCGGCACTTGAGAAGCGGATCCCAGAGCAAGCTGGCTAACAGTGAGCTCTAGGTTCAGTAAGAGATCTTGCCTCAATAGATGAAATGGAGAATGATCCAGGAAGACATCCGACATCAACCTCTGGCCTCCACACACATGTATACCTGTGAACTTACCCACTTGTAGACACACACATGTTACATACCATACAAACTTACACATGCAGAAAAAAAAGCCCCACATTATAAGAACTTGTACAGTTTATTCCTTATACATTATGGTCAGTACCCAGTGGCAGTGCTATACTAATTTTGGAGTTAGAAATCTTTTCTCACTGAACAGCCGAGATATGTGGCTGTCAGGCTGTAGCCTTAGTTGACTCCCCCTGGTCCGGCTTTTTACCTTTCATTGCGCAGCATCTCCATTGAAGGGTTACTTCTTACTGTTGTTCCCACGTAGCCGGCATCCCTCTTCAGGTACACCTCTCCCAGTCCTTCCTTGTCTTCACTTCAGTATCCCGCCGTTTATCTTCCTTTTCATACTTTTCTTATCACTTCCTTTATCATTTTCTTTCCTCTTATTCTCTCTTTAGTTTCTGGTTACCATCAGCTGGGAAAAGAGAACGAAATCAGGTAAGATCACTTTTTGGGGGGGTCATCCTTATTTTATCATTCAATTTCCTTTTCTTTAGAACGAATAAAGCATTGGTTTCTGATTTTCCTCACATTTCTGCTTGTGCACACGAGGTGAGTAGGAGTCACTCTTCGTCATTACTCTGACTTTTGAGAGCCATGTTCCCAGACTGTGCGATGCTCATCTGTAAGAACTGTAGCCAGTTTCCTTCTAAGTTTCAGCTGCAGTTGTCAGTTTCTTTTTAGTAACAAACATTTCAAGAGAAACCTGGTTTTATTAGTTTCTTTTTCTAAGGCTTATTTTTACTTATGTTTATGTGTATATGTGAGCTTCGTTGCCTGCAGAGGCCCAAGGGCATCAGGTCTGCTGGAGCTGGAGTTACAGGCAGTTGTGAGCTGCTGGACATGAGTGCTGAGAACAAAGTTTGGGTCTTCTACTCTGAACCCCTTGTTTCCGGCTGGAACTTTGACTAAAAATGTAGAGTGATTCTCCTTGTCCCTGGCTTAGTTTGCCACTCAAAACCTGTGCTGTGACAGTCTGAACATAGTAAACAGAAAGCTGAACTCCTGTGGGGGATGTATCCAAAGCCTTAGAGCTGTTTCCCTTAGTTTTTTTCCTTAGTTTTTTTCCTTGTCTCCCTATTAAGGGAGACCTTGACATATTCAGGCCTTTGAGTGGGATCTAGTATTTAAAAGTGATTCATCATGGTGGTACTTATGTTTATAGACATTTGAAACATTTTCAGTTCGGGGGTGGGGGGTTTGCTTCACCTTAGTGAAGTTGATAGAGACTGATGGGCAAGGCTTCTTGGGTTTCCCTTGCTCTGTGGTTGGCTGCTTGGTCATTTTGGAGACTACTTGGTAGTTTATTATGTTGCACCATTCACACTTGGAAAGTTTCCTGTGAAGTTGCCAGTTCACAATAAACTAGAAAAGTAGAAGATAAAACCAGTATATGTTTATGAGATGATTTTAGGTCAAGCACTTTAAGTTATATGTTATAATATGTATTAGAAAAATGTAATTACAATGCCAGACTTAGTTTGTGGAAACAGGACAAAGCTGAGTATAAGTAACTGGTGTAAAGAAAAGTTCTAGATAAATAATTGTGTGGGTAGTAGGCAGATAAGCAAAGGGTCATGAAGGTGGCTGGCGTGCAAGAGATTCAGAGGACTGTTAAGCTAGAGTGTGGTGTGTATTTGCTTCAGAGCATGCATAGGCAGAAGGGGACTTCGGGCCATCACCTCCTCCACATCTGTTATGTACAAGTGAGGAACATGCTCTGCAAGTTTCAGCTATTTTCCTAAAGTTGCAGAGCTGTGTCTGCTAGCTTAGTTCTGTTCTTTTTAAGTACGTTTCAAGTTTCCACTCAAGGTCTTTCAGTCAGTCTTAAGTCATTAAGGTATCCATTTTCAAAGGACTGTTTATTGTGGGAAAAGTACAAAGAAGGCTATAGGGCAAACAAAGTGTGGTGCTTTGTACACAGTATTCCATGTTGTCCTCAGCCTCCTTTTTGGTTTTGAAATTTTGGTGCTGAGGATGTTGTGCTAACATGTGCACTGTTCTCTTACCCTCTCACTCACCTTTTAAGGTAATTAGGTGAGAAACTGAAATTACTTTATGACCTGAAAAGTAGAACTTGAGTTAGTGCTGCCATTATTTCTATTATAAGACAGGTAAGATGGCCAGTGATACATCCTGGAGAGGAGGCTAGCAAAGCTCAGAGATGATGCTACTTTTTAATGTAAAACAACTCAGTGATACTTTCAGTTAGGCATCTAACTCTAGGCACCTTACTTTACGCTGTATTTACAGTGTACACTGGGATGTGCTGTGCATTTGTCCTTGAAAAGGCAATTTCATGCTAGCCCTCTTGGGAAAGGGGCTGATACACAGTGGATAATCGATAGGTGTCCATTAAGAAGTCCTGTGTTTGGCCATTTAAGTGATTCTTGCATAAAAGTTTTGTTTGATGGGAATAGTTTTGTTTGCTATGTGCTGGGACATAAGGTTAGACATGCATATCTTTATTGAATGGTATCGATGTTTAGGGAGAAGGGTTAGGAGTTGTTAAAGAGCTTGTTGGCTGCTCTTTGGAATCAGGTCTGTTTCATTTAAGCCTTACTAAAATTATCTTATCTCATTTATCCCCACAGTTGAATCCTCTCTCTCCTCTTTACTCCCTGGATGTTCTTGCTGATGCTCCTCATCGAAGATGTTCACCTGCACACTGCTCTGCCAGGTAATTGGCTTCCAGTGGCTACAGCTTCCTTCTGGAGAATGCTGTGTCCCTTTTCATAACTCTTGAGATTATACGTGCATGTGCACAGGATCCAATTTGTAAGTTGGTGTTTCACAGATGCAGAAGCAGGCTGAGGGCTAAGGATTTTTCATATGACCACATGGCTTGTATGTGATTTGTCTGAACTGTGGGCTATGTCTTCCGACTCATATTTCACATTATTTCTGCTTCTAAAAGCCCATCATCAAAGAACATTATTAATGTCTCTTGCCATGACCTGCAAAGCCCTACATAATCTGATTTCTACCAACATGGCTAGCTTCCTTTCATATAGACCTGCCCCTCTCTGAGGGAAAGATCTAGCAGTACCAGGGAGCTCCATTTTCTTATAGAATGGCAGCCCTTCCTGCCTTGGACCTTTGCTTTCATTCCCTTTGCTTACCAAGCTCTTGAGCCCCTGGATACCAAACGGCCACCTGCAGCACCATCTGGTTATATTTGTCTTCACCATAGTTCTTACTCTTGTCTATAATGAGTATGTGCACTGGTTGATTTAAAATTTTATCCCTCCCCCATTGTCCTTCTTACTAGGATGTAGAGACCTTGTCTTGTTCCTTAATAAATCCCAGTACATGGGTCTGGCGCTTGTTAGAAATTTTGTGTATATTTGTCACATCTCTCATGGGTTCTCTTAATTCAGATGACATGGAAGTTTGATGATAGCATTTCTTAGCAGCATTATTATGTGTAGGACAGCTAACAGTCTAGACCAAAGAATTTTTTTTTTTTTTTTTGGTAGCATAAAGAATTTCTCTTTCAAGATTGTGATGGTTTTGCTGTTTTTGTTTTTGTTTTTTGGTCTCTTGAAACAGGCTCTCACTCTCACTATGTAACCCTGGCTGTCCTGTAACTATGTAAAACAGGCTGGCCTTGAACTTATAGAGATGCACCTGCCTCTGCCTCACCATACTGGGATTGAAAGAAGGTACTATTATGCCCAACTTCTGGTGCTTTTTTATTAGTCAGCTCTTAAGTAAATGTGCTTATAGACGTGTGCTGTAGACTGCACAAAGGAGTTACTATTCTTTAGACACAGTTCCATTGAGTTTGGATGATGAGCCCTATTTTATAGTCTACTGCTAGATCTTTCTGCTAGGAAGTATTTTGGTAAGGAAGGTCTGTGGAGAAGAGAGGCTATTGTAAATAGTGTTGCTAAGAATGTGAAATTGTGGGGTGATTCAAACTTCCACTGTAGGCCTTTATGTCACTATCATGCTGCTTGTTCACCATTCATTCATTCAGCATTTGCTGACTCTACTGTGTGCTAGGCTTTTTGTCTAGAAATGAAGCTCTCATGACAAATCAGGTATGGAAACTGACAACTATGAAAAAGGTTGCACCTAAAAGCTATGACACGCAGAGGAAGAGCTCCTGATGTAGCTCCATGGGAAGTATTCTAGATTTCAGTTCATAGAAGAGCATGCCTCTGTATTTTGTCTTGATACTAGAATATGGCTGTATGTTCTTTGGGAAGACCAAATGAACAGTACCACATAAATCCAGCACACAGAGTGGATTACTCTGCCCTCCTTTCTCCATGAGCACTACCCGGGCTATACTGGCACTTTTCTTTCATTAGAAGTCTTGCCCATAGCCAGGACCCAGTGCTAGATTCATGATTCTTTGTGCATCCTGTTAACTGTCATTAGTGTTGCTCTTGTGACTGCTAGACACCGTGCATGGCTGGCCTTGGAAACATTAAGGAGTCTCAGCCAACTTCTAGTGCACACAGGTCAGAAGAGTGCTGCTGTTGCTTCAAGCTCTTGCTAGAAGTAAAGGAGAGAGAACGAGGATGATTACATGTTGTCTTTGTCTTGTCTCTTTAGAGTAGTAGGCTGGATGCGTGTTCTTTGGGTTTGGGGAAGAAAACGTTTGAATTAACATTCATTATCTTATTCTTAAGTTTTTCTTTGTTTTAAATTATGTGTGTAATTGGCCTAAAACTACATGTGTATGCATTTTGTGTGTGTTGTATGTATAATATCTGTTGCTCCCCCACAGTTCTCAACTTAATGAAGGACTCACAAAGGTTTGGCGGATGCTGCTCTGTGGGGATGATCGAGCAGATGCCTTCAGTGCAGGTTTCAGAAAATAGGAGTGAGAAACACTGAGTTCTTTGGGATAGCACAAGCACCTTCAGAGTGATGGGGTCCCATGCAGCATGGTGTCATTGGAACAGGACCTGTCTAACTCATTTGGGGGACTTGTAAGATGGGATTGGAACCATGCAGTGAGTTTTAGGAAGAGCGGACCGTTTAGCAAAAGCCTCAAATCAAGGACAGGGTGTGGAGAGTGCTAGACAAGAGGCCAGCTGAATGACTGCATTAAAGAGTGTTTCGAATGGAGATTTTATCTTTTCCTTGTCCCATTTTATTTGTAGTAGGAAGAAATTTCTTTCAAAGCATCTGGGCAGCACTGGGAATTTTACACCCATCATTAGAACGATTTGTGCATGTGTGTGGTGACTGTGTTATCATTAGTGGTATAATTTTATTTTGCAAAGAGAGAAGTGTTTCCTGTTTTATCGCAGCTTTCCCTGAGGAGGGCTGCTGTATTAATTTGCTGTATTGCCTCCTGGCTGTTCCCAGGCTGTTTTTCCTCTTCATCATGGAATTTTTAATGGCTCTCCTGCCTCTTGGGAAGCATGTGGGGAAGAGTTCCTGAGGGAGTGCTTCCCTTTTTTCACATGCCATAATTACTCTCCTTTAAGAGCACAAAGAGTCTGATAATCGTGCCTGGGCTCTGAAAGTTCCCTCCTGTCAGGGATCTGAGCTGAGCCACCTCCTTGCTGGACACTTGCCGTTTGCATTCTGCTTGACTTCAGCATCTGGACATGGCCACCTCCAAAGCCACATGCAGCTTGGGATCCCGGAATACACTGAGGCCACTGGGTTGTGGTGAGTGGCCTCAAATATTGTAGGTTAGCATTTCACTTAATCAAATAAATAATGAGATGTAGTTTAACACTGTGTGGGTGTGTCATTTGCTAGGTGTAGAGGGTGGGAAGGAGACTTCTGTGGTTATTGTGCCATTCAGTTGTTTGGAGGTTCACTCTAAAAGTAATTAAGTTTGGTGATAGTTTTCAACCCTGACTCTACTTGGAAGTTATCTGAGAAGCCTTAAAAAATGTGGTCACAGGCAGCAAGGGAGGTGGCTTAATTGGTGAGGACTTATATAAGCCCTGGGACCTGAGTTCAAGCCCTAGCACCCCATTTTTTTAAAAAAAAGTGGAGTGTGTATCTGAATCTCAGCACTGGGCCAGCAGAGACAAGAGGATCCCTGGGGTTTGCTGACCAGCCATTCCAGCCAAATCAGTGAGCCCCAGGTCGGAAAACAATTGAGGAAGGCCCTAATACCAACCTCTGGTATCTATGCTCATATATATGCATCTGTGTGCAAGCGCACACACAAAAACACATGTGTGAGCACACACATGCACACAAACTAAAAAGAACAGCAATAGTCATCCATGTCGAGCCTGACCTTCACAGATCATATGTTGTTGGACTGGGGCAAAGCCCAAGCATTGACATGACTTCAGAGCTTCTGAGGTGGTGGCTAGGCAACCAGGGTTAAGAACTGTTGCCCTAAGTACTGATGATTTCTTGGCTGGTCCTTAACAGGAGCACCTGTTTTATAACTGGCGCAGGTTTCATGCTTTGGTGTTGTGCGCACCATTCTTCTGGAGGCAGGCCGCTGGGGTTCCTGTGGCTTGAGAGGAGCTGCTCCAGGTGAAGAGTGTGTATACAGCACATAGTGCATGAGAGCAGGCCGAGTTTTGTTGGGGGCAAGGGCGCACGAACACTTGGGGAAAGCCTTACAGCTGTTGAGGTTAGTTTTGTTTAGCATTGGCATTTGCTGTTGACGTAGCCATGAGCAGGACTAAGGATTGCTGCCACTCACACAGCGGATGGGGGTTTGGGTTCTGTTGGAAGCAGTGCTGTTGTAGACAAATTCACAGTGCCACCAGACCTGTGGGCAGCTTTCCCCTAAATGGGATTGACGGTGAAGAAAAACCTTAACAGAATTGCCTACAGGAAACTAGTAGAGCTCACTGCTTGCTTCGTATCTCAGGTACATGTTATTGGCTAACATATTTGAATGCTTTATGGCAGTTTTAGTTTTCTCTGATTCCTATCTTGTGCTTTGAGTGGTGATTTGGAAATGCATCCGTTTGAAGTTAATCTCTAAGCTCTGAAATGGGAAATAGTGCCCACCCCCACCCTATTGTCGTCCCTGTGCCCACCCTTCACCCCCACCAAATAGGCCAGTTTCTTTGTAAATAAACTTTTTCATTTGTGAAATCTTATTTTCAGTTGAGTAAGGCTGTCAGATTCCCAAGCATGTGAATTTTAGTGAGAATGAAAAGTCTCATAGCATATTCTGTTGTCATTGCTCATGAGCTGTTGAACAGACATAAGGTTAAAAGCATGGGTGTTAATGTACCATAGGCCTCCGGTGAGAATCTTGACTTATCTGGACAAACAAACACCCTGTTCCTCAGTTTCCACGTGTTTAAAGTGGAAAACTTTTCTGGCCAAACCACTGGGGGTGAAAGTGAAATGATGTATGTAAATATTCAGCAGCCTGGGAACCAACATTAGGATGATCTCAATTTTAAGACCTTTAAACTGGGTCTAGACTTATTTACTAATAAGATGCCGTGCAGATTCCTGAGAGGTTTGAATGGTCTCAAATTGACGCTAAGAAGAGACATTTGGACAGTGCTTGGTTAGAAAGACAGAAACCTTCCTGCCCATTAGAGTTGAAATATGATGGACCTAGCTCATTGTAATTCATTTTATCTGTTCACAAGCGTTACGATCTGCATATCAGAGTTGTGTGCCCAGCTGGCTGTGCCACTTGACAAGGAGTTTCAAAGAGCAAGAAGAAGACTCAATTCATGCTATTAATTTTGACCTTTGGAGCCATAATAAACA